ATTATGCAAACGTCTCCGCAATGAAGAGAGTGATCCTAAGAGCCCTTCAGGATGCAAAAATTCTTTTTAGCTCTGCCCTTCTGAATTCTTATTTGCATTGAACATCTGGGCTTCAAGAGCTTCTTGGACGAGAAGTCTGTGAGTGGAGCCTACGTCCGACCTTTTTTCGAAACAATTTCTCACGCTCTAATTCTCTTAAGCCTCGAATATCTCAAAAAAGAATCCACTATCAATTGCTTTATTTTATGGACTTTCTTTGAATTATTTAATTTGACTCCTGGCGACATGGTTACAAAGCCGGCCAATGTGTCGCGAGTTGATGGTCACCCTTTGGAGCGCGATCCGCATCGGCGGTATGAGCACCTCAAACCTCCTCGCTCACCGGACCACCACGCCCTTCCTGCGCCCCAAGGCAGGAGGGCGGACCAGCCCCCCGAGGACCAAGAGGTGTCGGCTGGGAAGGCTTCTGCCTTGCCGAGCGACCTCAGCCTAATACCTCGCGACGGGATCCGTGCCCCCAACACAGGGACCAGCTAACTGAACGCGGTGACATAACCTACTTCTCCCGTCGCGACCGACCAGAGTGCCCTACCTTACTTACTTCCCCGAGACAAGTACAAAAGTAGGAACACTGGTTTATTATGCCAACTACGAAATGCTGAATAAGGAACTACATTATGATGATGGACATGTGGGTCAGAGCCAGAGAGTATCACAAGAGTGTAAGGTGATTATCATGAATAAAGCATATCAAATATGGCAATGACGCAATATATACAAAGCATATATACAAGAGTGATAGCACGACACTCACCTATCCCTCGATCTTCAGGCTTCCTTCAAGGCAAGCTCCTTCAGCTGTCCATTCCAGGCCCCCATTGGCGGTCTTCTTGCCATCCTTCCTCCTCAGTATCCGACGGGGACAACTGCACGCCCTCGGAGAAGGGTGCTCGGATACTGGTCGGGCTTACACTGGCGCTCCATTTCCCTATGGGCAACTTCACAGCGTTGCCCGGCTATACCGACCAGTAGCCGACAGCCAGCCGGTCGCGGTGCATGACGAGTGACGACTGACTAGGCTATGCGAAGGAACGCGCACAACGCGCGCACATACGCGCCGCGTTGTGGCGGCCGAGCAAAGATGGGCCGGGGCGCGCGGTGCGCCCAGCGACCACCGTCGCATCCGCGACACAATGTGAAGATCAGACGTTCCCTCTCACACGGAATCAGCGTTTGACTATACTTACGGCGGTATGCACCACATCTCGGATGGTCACTGCGACAGGGGGGGCGCGCGATTCACGCGTGACCCCATTAGAGCTCTTCGCGCACGCAGCATCGTTTCAGTACCTTTCTGTTGAGATGGCCCAAATAAATTTGCAGTAATCCATGGCTTCACCATGAATAGAGCGAATCTCTTCATTATGGCAAAAAAAGCCCCTTCGAGATTGAGAATTCGCCTCATATATCAACAATTTATTTGTCAAGCGTTCGAAATAAGAATACCTTCAAATTCTTTGATCCTAGAAGATGCATTCCTTCTGTAAACAAGTATAGTTGGCCATTTCTTTACTTATTCTACTTATTAGTTCTTATTTCTTCCGTTAAGATGGTAAGCATGATGTTTTAGCGCGTTTTGTCCGATGACCTCATTATATTGACGCGTGAATCGCTACATATCGTATCCAACGGTAGAGTCATAAAGGTGCTCTATTGGTAGGAATAATAATTGCTCTATTATGAACAAGGAAAAGTCGATGAATAAAGTTTCTCTGCATCGGTCATTTGGAAACCGCCCACACTTAATGAAATTATTAAGCATTGACCAATCCTCTTTCGAAATGCACTCTGCGTTCAGCTTCCATTCATGTCACTGTTAACGTCAAGGGAGCACTCAAAGCATATTGTTGTATGAATGTGTCTTTACCCTATACTTTGATTTGCGGGAGTACCAATCCTTTCCTTCCTCCTCTGCGTGTCTGATGTGAACGAACCGACACCAGTGGTTTGGAAGCATGGGAGCACTGGTTGCGCAGACGGGTATCGATGCCTATACTAGTAGTAGAACGTTACTTCACACCACTGCTGCGCTCGGAAAGGAATATCATATTGGTAATCGATGGCCGATCGTCCCAATCGGTTAGCCAAATGTTTTATACTCTCATGTATCAGATTTACGGCTGACTTTTGTTTCGGGATTTTGCAGCCTTCGTTTCAGTTCTGAACATCGCTTGTTAGAAGGCTCCCGGAAGAATCATTCAAAACCTTCGTTGTGGGCATCTTTTCGCTGTTCCTTTAACCGCATTCCTTTCTCGTTTTGTGAAAACTTTTCACGACACTGGTTCTAAGTTTCCCATGTTATTGATCCTCCATGAGCGTGGCTAGTTCCACATCAGGCAGTTGAATGATTCGCCTATAAAACCCTGCCGTAAACCTCAAAACCGCCTTTCCATCCACTTCACAATGTCTTCTGATAGCATACTCTGTTTGGCAAAGCCTCTCTATCTTTGAAACTCTTCACTCTTTTCATATTCACTTCTACGAAGGGTTATCTCACGATAGCGTTGTGAATTTTGGCTATAAAAGAGAAGGTTCTGAGCTTCTCATAGGAAAGGATGCACTCGAAAGAACCAGAGATGAGGTTTAATTCCGAGGCCACAGAGAGGATATTTTTAGACGAGCTTTTCGCTATTATCTTTGTGGGACTAACAGTTAAGGTCGTACCAAAACACTTTTGTTTCTCCCAGAGCTGACTAATGATTGGTAGTAATACTTTCGGGACTAGTAACATTTCGGAACTTATTCGAGGTGATTTGGTGGCGCTGGTGCCGTATAAAAATTCATTTTTCATTCAAATCAGTGCACTTATCAGTTAGTAAGAGCTTTTATACTCAACGACCGTCCCAACAACAACGTGCACCCGTTAGCCGCCACCTTGCCAGTACTGCTAAAACTGACATGGAGCGTCTCAAGGGTGGACAGCATCTCAGTTTTGAGTTGCGAAGTTGTTTCGGTTCTGCATGTTGAAGGCACAGTTCATGAATAAAGGCTCACGTGATATATTTCCAGAATGAATTTGTGGCATCCGAATATGCCATATATGGTGTTGTAAGATCAAAAAACGACTTAAAAAGGGTGTAATAATGGCTAACTGGCTGTATCTGCTGTGTGCCACATCCAGGGTTGGACGAGTTTCGATGGCGTTGTAAAAGCTGCGTCATTTGCAATGAGCATTCATGGTAGAAATTCGAACAACTGGTCGTGACCCATGACGACAGTAGACGGAGGTTCTGCTTATTGTTGCCAGCTCTTAACGAAATTGCAACGAGCGTAACCTCATTCAAATACCCCTTTCATAGCGTTCCCGTCGTAGTGATCTCGTCTATTTTCACTATTTTCAAGAAGCCTTGTGTTTAAAGAATTTGCTGATTTTTCTCTTTTTGCACCCTATGCACTATTTATCACCAACACTACAGTGTTTCGACCTAGTTTTTTAGAAAGGTACCTCGAAAGAATCCTTGATCGTGCCTTCAAGGGCAATTGCGAACCAATCGCAATATTTGTCCAACTAACGTCAAAGCATAGAGCTGTATCCAACTTTTATTCCAAAAATTTCAAAGAATAAAAAAACAAAAATCGAAACAAAACCAAAGTCCAAGATTCGGGAATTGAAGTTCTTTCTGGAAAAACTAAATGGCTTGGTCCGATTCCAAATGAAGGGTAGAAGGCCGGAGATGTTGAAAAGTCTGCCCGCTTCGATTATTACCGAACGACATTCAATTACTCTGTTGCAACCCACTCAATACGATATAATATATATTTTTACGTATGTATTGCATATACTGCATTACTTGTTTGCTGATGTCATTAATTTTCGGCTTAATTTCAGCAAGAATTTGTGTAGGATGGGACACGAATCACATTTCAGTGGAGTTAATTCCGATTTCCGATAATTTTCAAGTATAATTCAAAAATTTGGCGTTCTTTCCGCTCACGCTAAAGAGGTTGGACTAATTGATCCAATTTTTGGAAATGGGAGTATCTAGCTACCGAGCTCCAATATGTGTGAAATTCTCAGTCTGATGTCGAATTAGTGTATGGATCGCATTCGGGCTTTTTATTTTTTTCGGTATTTTCCAAAGCAAAATAGGGCTTTTAGAAAACTTCTTTTCCCCCTCCTCTTGACTCATTCTAGAGTCTTTACTAATTCTTCGCATTTGATTTCCGAATTTCCCCCTAAAACTTGTAGCTTTGGTTCCACAACACATACCGTGCTCAAACTTTCATAACTTTATTTCAAAGTTGATCCAACTGAGATGTTCAGTGCAGCTCCTATCGGCGTCGATCCATAACAACCGTCTTGGAATGTACAGAACGAAAAAGACTGAATACCGTGAACTTCTATCCCGAATTAGTAAAATTTGACTCCTCTCTTGGGAAGCCGAGTATCTTTCCCGTGTAGGCTCTGGTCTCCAGCGCTTTGGTTTCAGCTTTTCACGAATGTCGGAGAGAATAGCAGTTCTTGTTTTAGAGGAAAACTTTCATTCCTGTTCTTCAATGCCCGTCCTTCTCAATCTGTCACAGATATACGCGGATTATGGCCAGAGGAGAATCTAACAAAAATTGGGTTGCCTAATGTTTGAATCAGGTTTTCACCTTGACTCCTGCTTTTCAGAATTGTGACACCCTCCAGTACTGTCTTACATTTTTCGTAAATGACAGCGACATTTGCAATCACTTTCTGGCCTTTGGCACCATACATTCATGAAGTGGCTCAAATTGCAGAGTGGTGCAAATTAGGACTATTTAGACAGTTACAATGATCTATTCATTACTGACCTCTTTATATCGTAATCTGAACAAGGCATCAAGCAAGATGTATCATTGTAATGTTCGCATGTCAAACCAAATTTTTACGCTTAGCTCTCCTCTGAGGTGCTTCTGGCCCGTTGCTTGGGCGTAAGAAGTCGGATTTTTTGCCTGTTTTTCCAGAAGGTGCCATGTCGTTATGGCGTCGCCCGAGGTCGCCCAGTTGGTCGATGGACAGCTATTTCGACGAAATGTCGCGACGTATTGATCGTGCACTCGATGAGTGTAGACGTGATATGAAACGATTCGAGGAAAGTTTCTTCCCACGGTCAAAATATGGCGAAGCACAGCGGGTATCGTTGATTTTGGATTTTTTGGACCTTAATCAGAAAACCGCGACTACGGTAACCTGGATATGTAGCATAGTGTGGAGCTGAGAAAGATCTGATCGGTTTTGTCCCTTGTTTCGTCTAGGCCAAGTAAAGCAGTATTCGATTAACAGTAAGGGTCTAGCATAAACCACAAGGATCAGGTCCAGGCTTCGACCACCAAACCATCCGCTCCTCCAGGGTCAGTCGTATGGTTCCGAGCTTGTTGCAAGTCTGAGAAAGTTCACGCTTTCATCAGCATTAGATTCAAATGAGGGCACCAAGTCTTTACTCGAAGCTTTTACGTACTTATCATATACCCGTTTTGACTTGATGTTTTGTTAACTGCCGTTATATCGCCGCAGTACGCGTTCCGAAAGACTCACAAGGTTGGCGATTTATGGACAAAACTTCAATATCGGACGGGACTCGAATCCGGAAAGGACAAGTATGGGTTCGAGTCCCCTTCCAGAATGAAGTTTCGTCCATAAATCGCCTACCTTGTGAGACTATCAAACACCTCTTCTAATCCTAACAAATTTGAACCGATCTTGATGATCTGGCGTATCCCAAAAGGGAAGGATTGGTGTATGAAGCTATAAGTCACGAAAAATCCTAGAAACCGCTACAGATGCTTTTTCTTGTCATTCTTTCCCTTTTGAACTATGGGGAGTGAAGAATGTAGCAAGTTGACGGCATAGATCATTACCATCTGCCTTTTAGCATCTACCATCTACCTACCATCTACCTCTCGGTTTTAGTCATTACAGTAACTTCATTAACAACGAATGATTGGTTTTACCGAAGAATGATTATGTGAGCACTATGTTATATACTATGCTATAGTTTATGTTCGATGTGCATTATAAGACTCGTTGAGTTTGCAGGTAATAAATGATGACCGAAAGTTTGCCGTAGAATTGGATGTGTCGCAGTTTCACCCAGACGAGGTGAAAGTCAATCTGGACGGCAGAGATCTGATCATCGAAGGACGTCAGGAACATAAAAGTAATGGGAACTACGAAAAAAGGTTTTTGACAATTTGTTCTCTTGACTTTTTCTCCATTAACCTTCGCATGGGAAACTCTTTTGATGGAAGCATACTTTGAGGCTTTAAAATAAGGGATGTGGTGAAAGATCTTCGATTTCCAACACGGAGTTCAGTTAAGGGCCGCACAGCGCCGCACCTGAATAGACCTGGACGACTGACCTTCGAAAATTCATGCTAGCCGAATGTGCATTCCATTATTTCCTTAATGACCAATATGAGATAATTATGGGAACACTTCCTCTTCAAAGCTTATTTTAGCCACGCTTTTTGCAGCCAGCCACTTTCTGCCTATACAGGGTGCGCCATAAATATGGTAACAACTTTTCAGACCTCCGTAATTTCCTTGTTTGGAGTATTTCTCCAGATCTGCACCTCCCCTTACTTTTATGATATACCTTAGCCCACATATGCACTAAGGTACTCTCAGTTCGTCAGATTTCAAAAAACGGTAGAGCTTCGCAGTCATCCACCAACCGTTCCGTCCTTGCGCGCTTTTGGTGAGTGGTTTTCCGGGTTCGTTCCTCGTTTCAACATATCCCGCATGACAGTCTCTTGAATCGCGTTGCATAGACAGATCAACAGCAAACCTCAGTACGGTCGTTTTGTCTCACATACGACCCCTTTTCCGAATACAATTGCTTGGGAAGGAGTACGCTGCGGAACCTGCAGAAACAGAAGAAAAATGGCTGCTGATTTGTTGTATGTTCTAATCCGATGGGAAGAGTCTAACCAGAACAAATAGAATTGCATCTAGATAAGATTCGGACGCCTTATAAGCTTTTTGACGGGAAGAAATTGAAGAGAAAAATCAAATGCCGTGCGTTACTTGCGCGCGGCACGCGCTTCGACACACATTTTTTGACTAGAGGATGTTCAGCGTGGAAGAAATGTTGAGGTCCCAAAGTATACATATATTTCACACTAAGAGGGCTGGAGCCGTTGAGAATAGTCAGATCGCATCTCAAAGCNTAGATGCGATGCATAGTAAATAGTTCACATGAATTCACCGTGTATCAATATGAACTGCTGTTTCTGTGGCCAAATTACTTTGTTACCATATTTATGGCGCACCCTGTAGATCGCGCCAACGGATGGTAAAATGGAAATAATGTGTATTTGAGTGATGGACACACTGTTCATATCATTTATAACCTTCCCGAGGAGGAGTATTGCGGTAGCCGGAGGCCTTTATTATGGACCAGTTGGGCTATGCACGCTAATGCGCGCACCACATGCCCACTACCGCCTACCTACGACTTGTTAGAGGACCAATATAACAGTATCGGTTCACTTTCCATTTGATAACTGTTTCCTCACCACGCTCACTTGACATTCGCACCCTTCGTTGGGCCTACGTGAGGAAGGACGTACAAACGGACATACAAACAGATATACAAAATTACCGCTCTATATATAGAGACAGTCGGACGCCCGGCCTACGACGGGCCCCCCTCCTTCTTATATTAAAAATGTGATAAACGGCAAACAGCACTTTCCTTTGGTGAAAACAGTGAATGATGCTTTCCGGAACATGAAGCTCCATAGAGGAACAGTAGGGCATACAAACGATATTCAAAATGTGCCGATGCCTATGCCTTTGATTAGAATCTGTCTGTCTCGATCTGTCGCTGTTGATGTTGTCATTGAAGACTTAAGTGGTAGGCACTCAATGCCTTGAATCGTACTCACAAAAGTTGTCGAGTCATAATAATACCATTATCAAATGTCTTTATGAATGCAGCTCCTTTCCTCCATACATCATTAAATGAGAATCCGAGATTATTAGCGGTCGTATAAAATTTGCCGTGAATGATATCAAAGCAGAGAGGAGCCGTGATCCTTCACTGAATCGCAAGCTTCGCTTAGTAGCGGTCGTAAGCAAGAAAAGAACCAAATTTCATAATCGCTATCTAACAGTGCACTTATCCGTCTTGTCGAATGAAACATATGTATCAAAGAATCAAAGCTAAATCGTAAACAACAAATGCGCTGGGGTTCAACTGGTGATTGGATCTTGTTCTCTATGGCCTCCTCTATCATCAGTGTCCCCAACCTGCCCCCTCTACTCCTCTTGATTTTGCTCTCCAAGTCCACGGGATCGGGAGTCATGGATTCGCTCAGACATCTATTTCGCACAAACTCCAGCCCCCAGTGGATGGAATCCGGTCCTACTACCCACCATAAGTGTTGCAATCCTGCCGCCTATACTCCTGCCAAATTTGAACGCCCTAGAGCCAAATTGACAATTTTGGCGCCAACCTTGCCCTCTGTGGCCCGACCCTGCCACCTACCACTAATGTCCCACCCTGCCTTTGGTACTCTTACCGAATTCGAATTTTCTAGGTCCACGGGAACAGGAGTTATGATTTTCCGCTGAAACATTTTGTTCGCACAAACCCCGCCCCCTGTGGACGGGGTCCGGTGCTGCCACCCACCATATACCACCACATGTGTTCCCATCCTGCCTTGGGTACTCCTATCAAATTTGAACTTCCTAAGTTCACAGGGACAGGAGTTATGAATTTCCGTACAAACAGACAGACAGACGCGAGCGCTTTATATAAAGTAAGGATCGTGTCAGCAAATTAAAAGAAAGCTTAGAAGTTAGAAAAACTTAAGAAAAAACCTTAGTTGGGTTCTTTGTTCCTGAGTTGAACGATGAATGATTACGGCCTTGTTTAGTTGGGGTGACGTGTGTTGTCACTTTAACTTTTAAAGTTTTTCATTCACTCATTTTCTCCGAACCGTTCCACCGACGCCATCGTTATCCTTGACAGGTGTTTGGACCCGCGGAATCCCCAGGAGGGAAGCTTGGGTTGTGTTCACTACGCTGTAAAGAATGAGGGAGAGGAAAAGGGAAAGGCCATTTCTATAGTGCTTCACCATTGACTCGTTTACCAAAACATCATGACCCAATAAAGGATGAAGAGCACGACGCCCGGGTGATAGCAGGGGTTCAACTTCCGTCCGAGGCGGAAGTTTTGTCCATAATTTGCCAACCTTGTGAGATTCCAAAAAAATGTAGTACTATCAGTTATGATTGGCCGTAGCGGAACGAACCTTCTATAATAGGAGGAAGAATTTGCGAATCATCAATCTTACCTCCTTCCGTGTCTGGTGCCCTGTCATTAATTCACTAATGCGTCAATCCGCTTGCTTTTTCGGCTTCGACAGTTTTGTTGAGTGTCGACTGTTCTATTATCATGTCCTTCAACACCTTGTAGCAAAGTCGCCATCGAACCATATGACACTCCAATCGTTGCTGACATTTCTCATACATTGCTCTTCTAATTCTTATTATGCTCACTTTTCACACTCCGCATAATGGCATGGGAGTCGTGCAGGTGCGAAAGAAGATGCTGAAGATATTTTTCACGGAGCTCGCTTTCTCCTATGCATATAGCTTGCTTTCTGCTGTGATCATCCACGCCATGCTAATTCCTCGACTGATTTTTTCCACGAACACAAGTAAACAACTACATATAATCCTACTTTATATAATTCGCTAGGTGTGTCTGTTGGTGTGTCGGTGT